AAAAAAAAAAAAAAAGAAAGAAAAGAAAACAATCCTAAACAACATAGAAAACAAAAAACAAACCAACCAAAACTAAAACATAAACAAAATAAATCGAGAGCCCTTCCCACAACAGAAAAACACATCGAGCACAACAACGGCAAGGACTCGGTCCAAGATCTCCACCCAGAAACTGCCAGAATGCCTAACTAAGTCGAGAAATAATGGACCTAACCCTCGTCCAGACGAACAACACCACTGACGCCCCGGAGACATAGGCACCAGACCAACCAGCACAGCCAGGCCCGACCCAGCCTAGCCCAGCCCGACCCAGCTCTGTCCAACCCATAATCGCTCAGCCCAACGAACACAGCAACCCAGCCAATCGATCTCAGGCGACCGCGAATCCAAAGCTCCACACCCGCCCTTCGATCATCGAATCAATAGCAATAAGCCCGGTTTGGAAAGGTTCATATACGGAACGCCGGGAAATAATGAGTCTTAAGACTAAGTACCCACTCTCACACGCGCTTGGGAAGAGAAACGAAGTCAAAAGCTCGAAATTTTACTCGAAACAATGTCGCCGGAAAACTTGATTCATAAGCTCCAAACCAAAATATAAAAAAGGAAAAAAAATAGAGAGGATTTTTCCAACTTAAAAGTTGGGAAATGAGGGTTATGTCCAAAAATACAAAGCATAATGTCTATATATAGCTACACCACAAACACACACTAAAAACACGCACATTTAATCAAAAATTCGCGAGGTCGAGAGTGTGGTTTGGGCATTGGCAGCACGGAGAGCGCAGGCGCGCGTGGGCGTGGGCGCAGGGGGGTGGAACTCGCGAGGTCGCGGAACATCTCGCACGCGCGAGGGGCGTTGGGAATGGTACTCGCGATCTCGCGAGCGGATTCGCGGGCGCGAGGGGCAAAACTCGCAGGCAAAGGCAGCTAGCAGGCGCGCGGACTCGCGGGGTGAGCCTATTTCGCGGGCGCGAGAGGGAAATTCGCAGGTAGCGGCACTGAACTCGCGGGTTGGCGCCTGTTCGCGGGCGCGAAAGATGATTCGCGGGCTGGGCTGCCATGGCTTGGTCCCGGTCATGTGCGACTTCGTTTCGCTCTAACTTCTCGCACACAACTCCGATTCGCACGAAACTTGGACCAAAATTCTCCTCATTGAATTCTCTTCGTCCCGGTATGGCTTGGTCGAATTTTCCGGTTGGACGGCTCGGACGGCTCGTCTCCTCGTCTCGACACGTTGGACCTATTCAACACCAAAACAAAAGAGAAAACGTGTAAAAATACGAAAACACTATACAATAACAAAAATACACGAAACACGATAAAATGGATCGGTCGACACAAAAACAAGCCTAAAACTATAAAATAAAACACACAAAACACACGAAGACAAAAACACAATAAACAGGCTGGTCCTTGGAAGAGGCCCAATGTGACGGCCCAAGGAATGAGCTGAGGAAAAGTCTGATGACGGAAAGATAAGGCTCTGATTTGGGAGAGAGGGTTTATCTGTCGTCGTGAGAGGAGAAACCGCCATGGACGGCGGTGTTGACACAGGTAACAACGGCCCCACAGATACCGGAATGTTGCCGGGACTGTCTCGGCCTTGGTTTGGCGGGCATCCTGCTTGAGTAGGGTTGAGGATTTCGGTCGATTGAAAAGTCGAATTAACAGCAGATCTGAGGGTTTGTTTGATTCTATTGGTCCAAGATGTGAGCTTGCTGTGAAAATCGCCGGTAGACTTCAAATGAGAATCGGATGAATGGGGCAATGAAGGCTGAAACCTTGTGTTCGAAAATATGGCCATGGAGAGATAAAAAGAAGGGAAGGAGGAGAAGAAAGTTGAGGGTGAGGGAGGGCGGGCTGGCCCCCCCAGAGTCGGGTGGCTCGCTGTCGGCGACGACGGCGCCGACAAGATCTAGATGGTAGGAAAAGCAAAGGAGGATGAGGGTGGATGGAAGGAGGAAGGTGGTGGACCTAGAGAGAGAAAGTTAGAGAGATGTGGGAAAACAAAAAAAAAGGTGGATGACTTCGAAATAGAATTCTGTGATCGCTTTAGTATTCTATATGGACCTCGTCGAAATAACTTAGAATTTGGTCTTTGGACTTATTTTTTTT